CAATATGGTAGTCTCCTCCATAATTTCCTTCAAAAAAAGCACCCTCCGAGCCAGCATGGTTTAGTCTCCTCCATTTCCCTTCTAAGAAAAATATCCTCCTAGCCAAGATGGTTAGTCTCCTCCATAATTCCCTTCTAAAAAATATCCCCCTAACCAAGATGGTTAATCTACTCCATAATAAAAGTATCCTCATTACCAATAATTATGGTCGTCTTCTCAGTAATTCGCTTAAAACAAGTCTGAGTCTTGCGCATAACTTTGTACACACCTGTCCCAAGTTCTTTCCACTGACTATCCCTATTGCCGAGTTATGATATATGTCTATATCTTTTTTAAATAGTCGTCATGCTCATTCAAAGGCATATTCATAGAAAGGTGGAAATCTCCTTGCTGCCACCGGTGTCAGATTTAACGTTTGGTATACTGTGAGGTATATCGAGGTTGTGTTAACTTCAGGTTTATCCGATCTTAACGATAACCAAGTTAAAACGATCATTAAATAACAATTGACTGTTTTTTTTTCTTTTTTTTCTGCAGGCTGGTACAAGGACAAGATGGAGTTCTGTGCTGTTGGTTGGGTAAGATCAAGACCAACACAATCATCAAGGAGCTCTCCAAACCCAGGATGGGTGGATGAGGAAGCAGCCTGGAGATCACGGAGAAGTTTCCTAATTGGAGGATCAGCAAGGAAAAAGTCACCATGCTCAAAGAGAAGGTAGAATCTCCTCCTTGCACTCAAGCACACCCCCCCCCCCCACAGTGAACACTATAAACTTTATATTTCTTTTTGTGCAAGTTGGTCAGTAGTGCAGAATGATTCAGATGTTAACTAATGCATGCAAAAAGAGGAAAAAAAGTAAATTTCAATGACTATCATCCCACCCTATATTTGTAGGCTATAGAAATGTCTAATCCCCCAAAACAGATTTTTACCTACCCTACCACACAGTTGTTTTTTTTATATGTAATAGAAAACACCACACTTTTTGTTCTTGGTTGGCCTTATTATTTTAATAAATGTTTTCAAATAGTTTTTGTTTGTGAACCCCCCCCCGTCCTCCCCCCCCCCCCCCCCCCCCCCCCCTGCCCAGGCTTGATCTACTCATCCCTCACCTCATCTCCTTGAAATCCAACTGGGGAAATGCAAGCTGCACGTCTTTGCCACCACGGACAAGAAGGAGCAAATGGACAGGGAGAAGATGAACATGGCCAACATGCTCAGCAAGTTCCGCATCAACTGCTCGGACGTGGAGGTCATCCCGGACCTGAACAAGAATCCCAAGGAATAGAGCCTGAGACGGTTCAAGGAGCTGTCCAAACCCTGGATGCTGGATGAGGAAGCAGGCGAGACCACGGAGAAGTTTCCTTGGAAGATCAGCAAGGAGGAAGTCACTACGCTCAACGAGAAGGTAGAATCTCCTTCTTGCGCTCAAGCCCCCCCCCCCCCCCCCACAGAGAAAACTATCAACGAGGGCCATTTGGGCGCCATCGTGGCTTATAAATGCTGGTTCCAAATACACGATAACAGCATGAGTGAACCAGTGAAGTGTCCCTCATTCCGGCTTCTGCTAGTTTGACTATAAAGCGCCCTCTTTTGTCCATGCATGAGACAATACACTTAAAGCTTTCCCAGTGTCCACTTTACGCTTAGTCCCTGGTTTGTGTGATTTTAAGTCCAGTCTTGCAACATCTGTTAATTGTGGCAAACCTTTGACACTCTGGTGGCTGATTTTCAATAATGAGATTGATCACTTTCAATCCATTTTTCGTACAACTCTCAGTTCATTTGATTTGCCAAGTGCATAGAACTTGACTTTAGTAAACATCAATAAATCACGCCATTTTTTCGCCTGAAATTCTTTCTTTTTCTTTCAGACCAACAGACAGATGCGGATCCGTGAATTGCTTCTCCAACGTTCCCGGAGGCTCAGCTCATTGTCATGTAAGTACAAACGGCGATAATGGCCACTATCGGACAATTACCTATCACGGTGGAATTGCGTCAACGCAGCTTGTAAATATTGTCTAAACATGATATACAAATGGATGCAGAACGCCAAAATCTGAGACAAACAAAAGTAACGTACAAAATTCCATGAGCCGTTTCGCGGATACCGCCATCTTTGAAATGGGGGGGGGGGGGGGCATTACATTGAAAAGTCATGCCATCATTCTCAGCTACAGTTGCATGATGAGACGTATTTTCATTGTAATGCCTCCCCCCCCCCTCAAAAACAATAATTCAAAGATATGGCGGTATCCGCGAAACGGCTTATAGAGTTGTCTAAGGGGCGTGGTTAACTCGCAAATGGCGGTAGGTCAATGGGTGGCGCTTTTCATGGCGGCACAATTGCTGACATTCACACGAAATACCAAAAATTCTTTAAAAGCCGCTGGCGAAAACAAGAAACTTTTTAAACAAAACTAAGGACGCTTGTGTAAAAACTAAAAGGTCACTTGTGTAAAAAGGGCACTCTTTACAAACTAAGGGGGGGGGGGGGGGGGGGTGTTAACCGCTGATGCAAAAAATCGGGGCGGGGTGAGCAATAAGTCTTGTGACCCAGTCTGACTGAGCTACTGTGGTCACCTGATCAAAAGTGGTGATCTGATTGGTCAATGTGCACTGTTGATTGACGTGCAAGAAGGGTCCATTATAACCTTTTCTTTGATTTCTTGCAGGAGTCTACCTATTCCAGGAAGCGTACTTGTTCAGCCTACATGTACATGTGCTGGCTGGAGACATTATCCAAGGATATGCTGTCAGCAGGGATGCCAAATATGGCATCCAAATAAAAGTCAATACAAAGAAATTCACTTGAAATGATAAAGTGACAAAGGACAATTCCAACCAGTTGAAAGACCCTCTTCACTTGAATGGAATTTGTGCTTTGTTTTGATTGATTTCGTTAAGATTGTTTCTTTACCATCTAACGGGCTCACACTTTCACTGATGTTTTCAAAGTGAGTTTCTTGAATGCAATCAAGTAATACTGATTAAGAACAATGAAAGTCTTCAAATAATTTGGAGTCTGTTAATCAAGAAACACTTGTCGCATTTTACGGGCTTTAAAAAAACAGCCAATCCCACATTTTTCATTACTGTGGGCACGTTTCTGTTTCAACTGAAATTAATAAAATCATGTTGTTTTTTCATAACGAAGCCAATCGAAAAAAAGAGAGTATTTTATCAAACAATGGTGGTGCTTTTGGTAATCCTCAGAATGAGGTTTTATGCATACTGTTTTCATAGCCAGTCAATTGTACTACTTTTACATAATTCTCACATATTGTAACGTTTAAAATAATGCAATCATTTCATAAAATCCAGTGTGGTTCTAATTGCTGTGAATAGCATTAGAATATTTCAAACAATTGTTAATCCAAATGCCAAGCTTAAAGTCGATAAGAAACTCAGATTCAATCACTCGAGACTTTTTTCATGACATGAAATAAAAATTGATACATGCATGGGATTGATTTAATTGACATTATCTGTGCTGGGCATACAGGGAACACAAGGCAAAAGAAAATAACATGTTACAGTAAACGCCCTAAAATTATCCAGGTATGTAGCAAAATATTGTTTGTTTGTCTGTATGTTTTTATACTTTGTTTGCTTAATTAGGATACAGTTATTGTGTTTAATTAATCTGTTTTAAATACCAATACTACAAATTAGTTGCATTTGTTTTCGGGAAAAAAACCACGTTATTTTATATGTTGACCAAATGTGGCAATAAAAAAATGGCGGTCAGAAACATGGCCTAAAAAAATCCAGGTTGGTCGAGATAACACCATAAACACAATATGTTTTTAGTTGTTAACATTTCTGGATACATGGTGGCATTGCTTTATTGCAAACCTTTTGTTTCTAAAAAAAATAATGACCCAGCTTGCTTTGAAAAAATATTTCATCAAAATACTTCTCGATGGCCTACCATGGGTCAAAAAAAATCGTCAAAAAACTTAACGCATACATTTCGCTATATCCCAATACTCATGCATAAAGCTAAATATTTCGTTTTGCAGAAAGTCAAAAAAAAATTGGCAAATCCATTGTAGTATACAGATCGGCGCATGCGCAATGCAAAAACATGAATAATAAATATGTTGTGACATTGTCATTGAACATGATTTGTTATAATTCATTAGTTAATGTTTCGGCAACAATGGAAAGCGATTAAAAAAATCAGCAACACGATGCTCGTGTATCTTTATGTGTTGGATTGTGTTTATTCGGGGTAAAGGAGGAAGCCACTGAATGAGGTCCGGTGCCAGGAATCACTAAAGCCGTACCGGACATTGTGAGATACATCGTATCTCCACGCTGCAGAACCACCACCGCGCTCCCAGACACCTGCTCATAGCGACTTGGATCATTGCTACGGCCAGAGACAACCGCGTCGCCGTTCTTCCGGAGATGAAACGTACAGGTAGCTGGAAGAGAATTTGCACACAGAAAACATGAACACGTAGGTGCCCGGCACACCACACGTGAACGTGCCGGTCTCGAGATCGAAGCTGGTACCCGGCAGAAGCGTCTCGGTCGCCTGGAAGGGCAAACGGGTGTCGTAACTCGTAGAGGTAAACGAGTTGCTCGTCCTCACCACGGTGAATGCTACCCGCTGGTTGGAGTCGTCTGGTGTCTCCCTGGCTCACCCTTTTGACCTTTGACACCAGTTTCTCCCATTGGCCTTACAACACCTGGGACTCCTCTTGGACCAATTTTTCCGGGCTGGCCTATGCCTTCGTCCCCTTGAGGCCCAGCTGCTCCACGCTCACCTAGGTCCAATCTGTCCAATATCACCCTTTTGACCTGGCTCGCCCTTTGACCCGGCTGACCTAGGGACCCAGGCAGACCTGGTATGCCGGGAATTGCAGCCGACCCCTGGCAGCACATCGGACACGCCTGAGACGCAGGACCATCACCGTCCGAGGCAACGGCCCAGTAACGGAAGCTCGGAGGTTGACGGAGTTACCCAGAAGGAGGGCGATTGAAAGAACGGTTGCCACGCAGATCTTCATTCTGTACAGAATAACAACGATTAAACTGAAACAAATCAGGTGAGATTTCAATAAATTAGTTTTTAAAAAGGAAGAGTAGAAAAAAATATTGAGGTTTGATAAAAGGAGAACTAGTCTAAAATCATGACAATCCGCCGTCAGATTTGAAGAAGAAAAAAAAACCAAAAAATGAGATTGGAGGAATCATTGTTCGAAGAATGTTTTCTTTTTTTATATAACAGTGGCGTATGAGGGGTCAAGGGGCTAACATTTATGAAAAGCCTAGTTCATAAAAACGGTTGTCATGGCAACCCACCCAATCGATTTTTTTTTATTTCGCCCGTTAGGAAAGGTCACCAAAATGCATTCCGATAGGGCGAAGCGTTCCGGAGCTGTTGTATTTTTTTTTTTGGGGGGGGGGACGGATTACATCTTGCCCCTTCCCCGGTCCTGATAGAATCATTAATTAAACCTCACCACACCCACCTCGATGGTTCGTTCTTGAAGATCAGGTCCAAGAAGAGATCACAAGGAATTCAGTGTAGGCTGAAAAAAACATACAAACGAAAACTGGTTAAGTTTACATTTAATACTATTTTATTATCAATTAAGATAAATAAGTGCGATTTTTTTTTCTCATTTGGATACATTGCCACCCCAAAACAGGAAAAATTGCTCACCAAGTTATTACGGTCAAGTAATTAAAATAATAAGTTTTCTCGGCCGAATTCGTCAAGAAAAACAATCTGTTCAATGTCGCATTGTTCAATTTCTCTCGAATTGACTGATTCTTGAAAGTAGCTTTCAATTTGTTTAAACGTTATTATTGAAACTTTTTTTCCAATCTATTTAAAGGCATGTATCTATTTTTGAGACAACATAGGAACTCGGTCAAAAGTTTGTTGGCATTCTAAGCTTTTGTTGCACTTGGCCAGGCAAATTTACTTTTAACTCCAGTTCTCTTTGTAGTTTAAAGCAGCAATGAAATCTTTCATTCAATATGAAATATTATTGGGTCTCCCGCCCAATTTCACACTTTGCTATAATTTAATAATAAAACATTTGCATTCAAAAGTAACATAGTTCAATGATATTTGGAAGTTGCATGAGCAAGGTATTGTTATTATAGTGATACACAGAGTATAAAATGACATGGCTTTTGACAAGTTTGGATTAAGAATCTACAGCTATTTCAAAGATTGGAATGCCTGGGAAGGGAATATGAAAAAAGCAGAACAGAACTGTATCAATGTAAAGTGTCAAAGTGATAGAAGGAAATACATTTAGAACACTCGCCGATAAAATACTATGTCAAAATACAGATTTTTATGTAAGGACAATTGTGACCAGTTGTTAATTGTTGTAATCACCCTGTGGAAATAAAAAAAAATCGTATAGGCCTAGGCCCTATTTTTTTTTTTTAGCAATACGATTGGCGAATTGCGAATTGCAAATTAAATGGACCCTTATTCCATTGCACTTTGGTGAAAATGAATACTTCCTCTTACAGATTCGCCTATACTCGGTGCAAGATCGAAAACCAACAAAAGAAATGGATTTTCTTTTGCACGACAAAGTTGCCTACACGCTTTGGTGGGTGTAAATATTTAAAAAAATATCAAATGCGTTAACTGCGACCTTTTTCAATGTAATGAACAGTCCCTCTTATTGGACGAATACGTTGCGAAATTGGACGGAAAACCTATATGTTATGATTCCCGAAGTTGATAAACAATCACAAACGAATTACAACGTGATCAACGATCAAGAAAAAATTAGGACAACGGTTGCGACACAATTCCGATTAAAAATAAATAAAAGAAGACAAATTCCAAAGAATCTGATTACACAGCAACTAAATATTGGTGTGATCAATATTTGTTTCATCTTAGTTCTCTTTTTTTGCCAACTGATGGTACCTGCAAAAAAAAATGTGAAGGAAATTTCAGCGTGTTTCCGCTAATAGTCGAGGCACCCTGATGAGTTTAACGAGGAATTTGCAAAGACTGCAGGCCAAAATGTCTGGCACAGTTCTACGGTGGGTGTTATAGGGAGGGAATATCAGTCGAGCGATGTTTTCTGTTAAAATTTTGACCAAAAGGTGTATAAATATCGAGAAAAAATACAGTCTCCACCAAAATCACTGCTCTGTTCTGATGATTGAGTGAGGAAATGTCAAATAACAGACACTCACCTCGATGTAACGTTCTTGAATTCTATCACGAAGGGAATCCTCAACACTCAGCAGATTGCAAGCTGGAAATAATACCAACGAAAATGAGTAATTGAAAATCCGCTGGGAGATATCTTGGGGGCTGTTGGGGGAGGCATAGCTGAATTTCACAAGTAAAACACCCTCAGATCAAAATCTCTGTCGGGCGAAATGTGATCTGGATTGATTATAGCGGAATGCGTCCTGCATGCAACGGCCCTGAACAGACCCACGCACGAGCAACAATATTCATGTCTTCTTTGAAGGATTTAATATTTTCGAATCAAACGCAGTAACTACCAAATGCCCAGATTTTCTGAGAGAAATCTGTATGCAAAAAGAATTTAAGGCCACGTAGGATCATTTGCAATTGCCCGGAAAAGTACATTAATGACAGAAACCTTGCAATGCTGAGAGTGGAAGATAAGACTGGTATCAAATACCCGATGAAAGTATTTCGCCTGATATATCGGTTGAAAACTTTGCAGGTGTTTTTAAACTTAAAAAAATAGTTAAGGTGTTATAAAGCACGGAATCAAGTAACGAGATCCAACAAAATAGTGCATACGTTTTCTCTGCTTTTTTCTCAATGATAGTATCCACTGAGCTGAAACTTAAGTTTTTAAGCCATTTTGTTGCTTCGCACGAAAAAAAAAGATTCAAAAGCAAATAATCCTATGTTTCTTTTTAAATTGCTTGCATTTGAAATTGTAGGAATCACAATGAACATACATTTTCTGCATTATCAAGGACAATCGATCTCATACCAAGGAAGTAGTGGCGGTTCCGGATCAGGTGGGCACCGCAGTCAAGGTACGGTCGTTACAAAAAAATTATGTTCCGGATTGGAAATCAGCGCACCGGTTGACTACTAGCATCATCCCCCATTTGTTTGTTAACCGAATAATGTCCCATAATTGTGTTCATGATTATCTGTGTACCAACTGACCAAAAACACTTTCAAAGTATTCAGCAAATACCACTATCGCCATTTCAAGAAAATATTCAACGGAATCTAAGTGGCATGCTGAGTGGAACCCTGCATGCAAAACAGAGCTTGTGCTTCATATTTTAAGACGAACAACGGACAAGGCGGATCCGGAGGGGAACATCACCCCCCCCCCAAAAAAAAAATCTTGATTTTTTAAGTGACCGTCAATAAAGGCACTGGGTACACTACCATCTTTTCGAAACAAAAAATGGTTTAAAGTGGTCAGGAATTTCCTCAGATCGCCACAGAGAATTAGAATTACAACCAATTCGGGGCCCATGATGAAGCGGGCCCTGAACCCACGCCTTAATTTTTGGACCCACTTTCCGGGGACCAATTATTTTTTTTTTGGGGGGGGGGGGCTACCCCCCAAAAAATGATTATCTGTGTACCAACTGACCAAACACTTTCAAAGTATTCAGCAAATACCATTATCGCCATTTCAAGAAAATATTCAACGGAATCTAAGTCCCCAATTTTTTTTTTTGGGGGGGGGCTACCCCCCCCCAAAAAAAATTGTGTTCTGGATCCGCCCTTGACAGGGAACAGAAGGGACGAATAATGTGCACAGACATCAACGCTGTACATGATTGCTACAAATGAATCCAACTAGATAAAGCAATTTGAACTTGAATAAAATGTGTGCATAATCACGATCCGGTCCGTTTGTATTGCGCCCTATATTCAGTTACACGTTCACCCTGCAGTGATTGAATGTTTGATGATCAAACCGGAATGGCGCACTGTGAACTCTAGCGAAATGACACAGTTTAATAACAAAAATTCAAAAAGGTACTGAGAATACATGTATCCACCTTACTGATAACACAAGTTATCATAAGACAGGCATGTTTGAGTTGTCCGGATTTCCTGAGGAACGTTCTTCCGTGACCAACTTCCCACAACTCTTCATCCTGAATTAGTTTGAGTGATTGCCGGAATACAATGTGAGTACATCGCATCAGGATTTCATGTTTAAAAAATAAAATGATAAATTAAACAGGGAAAAAACGAGGCAGAAAATAAGGGGGTGGTTGATCATACCTATATACTGTTTAGGTTAAAGAGTCGAATTTCGCAAGATTGTTTTCTTTAAACCAAAATGTTAATTCAGTAATTTTTTACCTGAACTATTACAAGTGCGTGAATTATTTTGAATAAGTGCAAATCCCGATCAATTTCAACTATTCTGAATCACAGCAGGGAACTTGATGTAATGAGCTCTTAAAAAAAATGCTCCCAAAATTTGATTCAAAACCAGTCGAGTCTGAACAGCTTTGTTTTTGACACTGAATTATTTCGTGTTTGTATAGTGTTATATCAGACAATATATATCGTCTTAAAAAAACTGAAGACGTTTTCGAAATAGTGTGCCGGTAGGCAGACTATTAACGTGTGTTAGCAACGAAATTCAGTGACAAGAACCAAAAAATAATCCCTTTAATTTATCTGTTTTGGTCAAATGTATAGCATCAACTAAGCTAAAAGTTCAAAAGTTAGTGTGCTGCATCATACTTAAGATTGTGAGCAATTGATCATATGTTCCTCTAACTGGTTCAAGGGTGCTTGAACTTGTAGTTATAGAAATCACAATGAGCATACAGTTTCTGCATTTTGTGGGGAAATCGATCTCATACCATTGAAGTGGAGGCACAAACATTACAGCTGGACTACGCAGTCAAGTTACAGTCGTTACATAAAGATTTATTTTCCGGATAGGAAATCAGCGCACCGGTTTGGCTCTGGTAAGCCACCATCTGTTTGTCAACTGAAACGTGTCTCACAAAATATTTCAGATTTGTAAAAATCTGTACGAATCACCAAAAACTTTCGAATAATAAGCCAAAAATCAATATG